TGACGACTTTGTCCAGCACTTTAGGGATAAAATCACTAAGATTCACCACGAATAGGACTCCACAGTTGATATGGTCCTGAAACAGGAGGTGTCCAGAGCACCGTCTGGTCTGCCTTTGCTGGATAGGTTTCAACTATTGCGCCTAAGCATGTGGACCATGTGCTTGGACAAGTCCAACCCACCATCTGTTTACTTGACTCTTGCCCTTCATGGCTGCTCACCAAAGCCAAGGGCAGGATGTGTACCAGGGTCCAGGAAGCAGGTATTGCCTCTCTAAAGGAGGGTCAGGCCCCTGCACCCTTGAAGGAGGCAGTGATCAGAACCATCCTGAAGAGGGCAAATCTGGATCCAGAGATTGCCTTCAATTATATATCAGCAGCTAACATCCCATTCTTGGACAAGGTGCTCGAGCAGGTGGTGGCTGGGCAACTCCGAGCTCTCTTGGAGGAAACTGATTATCTGGACCCATTTCAGTCTGGATTCAGACCTGGCTGCAGGACTGAAACTCCTTTGGTCACCCTGTATGATGACCTGTGCAGGGAGGAGGACAGGGGGAGTGTGTCCCTGTTGGTTCTCCTGGACCTCTCAGTGGCTTTCAATACCATCAACCATGGAATCCTTCTGGATAGTCCTGCCAAGTTGGGAGTTGGAAGCACTACTCTGAAGTGCTTCTACTTGGCAGGCCGATTCCAGAAGGTGGTGCTGGGGGATTATGGTTCTGCAACATGGCAGTTTTGCTACAGAGTTCTGTAGCAAACTCTGTCCCATTTTATCCCCCATGCTCTTCAACATCTACATGAATGCACTAGGAGAGGTCATCCAGGGGTTTGGGCTAAGGAGTCATCAATATGCTGATGCCACCCAGGTCTACCTCACTTTTATATCTGATCCAGGTGAGGCGGTGGCTGTCCTTAACTGGTGCCTGGCTGGAATGATGGACTGGATAAGGGCCAATACATTGAGACCTCTTCTAGACAAGATGGAGGTCCTGTTGATAGGTGATTCAACTCTCCAGGGAAGTGATCTTTGCCCTATTCTGGACAGGGTTGCATTCCCACTAAGGGACAGAGTGCATAGTCTAGGAGTGCTCTTTGAGCCAGAGTTATTCATGGAGTTTCAGGTGACTACTGCAGCGAGGAGCACTTTCCTTCAGCTTCTGCTGACTCATCAACTATGCCCTTACTTGGATGAGCAGAACCTTGCAATGGTGACCCATGCTCTGGTAACCTCTTGATTGGACTACTGTAATGCAGTCTACGTGGGACTGTCCTTGAAGTTAGTCTGGATACTTCAATTGGTTCAGAACAGAGCAGCCAGGTTGCTAGCAGGGACTGGCAGATATACACACATAACACCTTTCCTGTACCATCTACACTGGATTCCAATTGAAGTTAAGAGCATGGAACCGGGACTCAGACAATCCGGGTTCAAGTCCCCACTCAGCCATGGAGCCAACTGGGTGACTTTGGGCCAGTCACAGACTCTCAGCCCAGCCTACCTCACAGGGTTGTTGTGGGAATAAGATGGAAGAGGAGAATGATGTAAGCTGCCTTGAGCCCTTTGTAGGAAAAAGACAGGGTATAAATCGAAAAATAAATAAATAAATCAGGGCCCAATTTAAGGTGCTAGTGATGACTTATAAAGCCCGAACTAGCTTAGGGCCTAGATATCTTTAGGAGCACCTCCTTCCATATATACCTGCCCAGCATCTAAGATCTGGAGCAGAGGTCCTCCTTTGGGAGACCTCTTTGAAGGAGATTGGACGAGTGGCTATCCAGAGAAGGGCCTTCTCTGCTGTGGCACCCCAGCTACGGAATGGGCTCTCCAGAGAGGTGCACTTGGTGCCGGTGCTTTTTCCATTTTGGCACCAGCCCAAAACTTTTTTATTTTCCCAGTATTTTAAACTTAGTATTGTTTTTAATTTTAATTTTATATATTATTTGTGATGCTCTGTCTTGTTTATTTATGTTATCACTGCTCTGAGACACTGTAAAGGGTGGGATACAAAAATTTTAAATAAATAAATGAATGAATACAATGCATCAAATAGGAAATTCATTCTGTAATGGCAAATCTCAAGTTCTCCACTTTTCTGAAAGAAGGAACATTCTTAAAAGTTGTAGATCTTAAGGCAAACACTATCCACACCCAAAACTAACTCTTGAAATGAAATGTACAAGTTGATTACACATTTATTGGATTTTTAGACTCCTTTCTCCTCACTGGGCCCATTTGGCAACAGTAATGTGTTGATTTTGAAGAACACAATTAAAGCGAAGAAGCTTGCTAGACTGTATTAAAATGCCATGCTGAATTTCTCTTGCAAAATAGGAAGCTCTTTTACCAGTGTTGTTAGTGTCTCTATGGACTGCATGCATCAAGTCTGAAAACTTCCACCAATGCAGTAAATTGTGCCATGCTGCCTTTGTACTAGCCTACCTTCTACTGGCTTTGTTTTTACCACTTCATCTGCAGTGCACTTGAAATGTGCTGTGTATCCTTCCAAGCATGGCCAGTACTACTTCTAATATAAACATACAAATGCATGATTACAGTACGGCACCATCTATCCATTTAGTTGATTTGGACAATTAGGTACTGTAAACCCACGCCTCCTTGATTTTGCATTTTCCATACTTTTCAAAAGCAGTACAATGAAATGACTTACTAGCGCACTGTCAAGACTCATAATGCCATGACCCTGAAATCCAGAGAGGGTTTTTATCTCTGTATGCAGGGCTGGTCCTTCCTTTCTTCCCCCACCACACAGAGATGATGTACTCTGAATTGAGAACAACTGCATACATTTGAAACTCAGAGGATTTTCAGAAGCAGTTTGCAAAGTGTGTGCTTGTGTGTATGGAATGGGAAGAAAATTACAGCTTTAATGAAAAACCCTCCTGTTCTAACTTTGCAATTTTCATATGTAGGGGAAAATCCAACATTGCATGAATAGATTCCCATTCATACAGCAGGATACATTTTTATCCTCTCCACTGCAGCCTCCAGAAATGATTTTGAGGGTGCATCAATACAGGAGACAAATTGCTGACAGAAATCACTCTGTAAGTGGGAAGGATAAATTGGACACAACCCACAATTTGCACAAAGGAGTTATCTGGACTACTACACAAATGTTCTTGAAGCTACCTGCAAATCATATTCCCTGGATAAAGAGGCCTAGAACTACCTATTTTCCACATGAGGAAGAAGACTGTTGTCCATAAAAGTTCTTCCCACAATATATGTGCTGATCTTTAAAATGCCATGAGAGAGCCAGTGTGGTGTGGTAGTTATAGTGCTGGACTGGGGACCAAGGAGATCTGGGTCTAGCCATGAAGCTCACTGGGTGACTTTGGGCCAGTCACAGACTCTCAGCCTAACCATCCTCACAGGTCATTATGAAGATAAAATGGAATGGGGGAGGATTACATAAACCACCTTAGGTTCCTCGAAAAGGAAGCAGGGCAGGATATAAATGCAACATAATAATGATAAAGCTGAGAACAATAAACAAGCACAGGATTTTGAACCATTTTCTGATGGAACCATCTCCTCCTCTATTATTTAATTGTTCTTACTTTATATAGTGTGCAATGGATGAGATACCCCAGAGGACAGGGCATTAAAATCAATCAACCAATCAATCAATATAATGTTAAAATTAAAAGAGAGCAGCTTTTCCCAACCTGTTGAAGCCAGCTGTTGTCCAACACCTATGGAGGGCATCCACTGGGTGTTGCCATAATGCATGGAAAGAAGTTAATGCTCCCTCCAAGTATATTTCAAGTACACACCAAGTTCAGTACGCAAATCATACCTTCCTCTTTCTGACCTGACATACTCCAATTCAATTACAAGAAATTTTAAAGGCATGTCCTAAAATCTATATATCTATTAAATAAAACCCTTGGCAACATTTCCACCCATCAATTTTATCACCCATAAAGGTCAGGCACCACAGCTGTGAAATCCTCCTTTGGAAAAACAAGATTGAACAGCCAAGAGGCTGGTTATTATCATTCCTATTTTTATATTTATCTATGGTAACTGCATACAGTAGATAAAGCATGGCCTATGAGACCCAGGGAGGAAAGGAATGTGGAATCAGGGAAGCAGTAACAGTCTCAACATGCAATGATGGTGGCAGTTGGAGGGTTATGTTGTGACCAGGCAAATAAGTTCTTCCCTTAGTTAATTTCATGATGGGATTCTTTTATAGTGCAAAGTTGTGCATGGATTCTCAGAAGCAGCTCCCACTGAATTTGATGGGGCTCACACTCAATGCACTTTCTTGAGAGTAAATCCCATTGGGATTTAATTCTGAGTCAATGTGCACAGGGTCCATTGTCAATGGCCTATGCGGTGGATCCTACAGAGGCATCAACTGGCTGCTCAAACACACAGCCACCAATGGGTGTGCTACTGAATGCACAGAGAAGTCCACAAAGGTTGTTGTTCTATAAGCATCACACAGACAAACAGATACATGTCAAAGGAGACTTTGTATACCATGCTGTGTACAGCTAGCATCTGTTTGATGATCATTATAAACCAGTATAATCTTCTATCTTTGCAGAAGATATCCTCAGAATGCAGAATATCAGAAGCCAAGAAGCTACTGCTACGCTCCAAATGTCTGAGGATACCCACAACTGTATAATGAAGAATCTAGTCATGGTGTTGCTGAGTAGAACAAGGTCCATCTATTGCACTTTATTTCTGGAAGCTGTAAATCAGATATCTTAGGATGCTTAAAGTCAAAGAACAAAGGAGATGCCCTTCCGCACTTGTATCTTGGATTTGGAGGTAACTGCTTTGTTATACAGAGGTTCCATTTAGCTTATCATCCCAATTCCATTTGTAATTTATTTGGCTAAAATGTCAACCAAAAATGGCTCTGGATGTATTTCCCAGACATCCTCTGTTGTCTTCAGATTCACACTGTTGTTATGCTTCACTTTAATGATTTTTGAAAAGTCATCAAATCAAATACTTACTGTGAAAACAAAGTCCTTGACCGAACTATGAACTTGAATACATATTCCAGGGCTTTCAGGGTTCTTAGGATAGGTTCACACTGTTCTCCTCTGCTGGAGATATCTAAGTAAGTCTTCAATACTTTCATTAGTTTCCTGAAATCAAAAGAACATATTAAAAAAAGATATACTTGAGTCTGTCGTACTAGATTTCTAAGGTGGGTAATGCAGCAGATATATGAAACACATGGTGTAACATGGCAGACTTGGCTTTTATTGAGTTATAACTCAAATACAAATATTATACAACTCAACAGAGGAAAAGACACAATTTTGTTTCCTGTTATTATTTCTATCTATCACACAGGATAGCTTTGGACAGTGGCCACAGTCATTGCATGGAATAATATAAAAATACCAGAACAGCAGAGGGCTGGGAATTCCTTGAGCTGTTTGTACCCACAGTACTTAAGATTGCAGTATTTACATTTCTGCACCATGCAGAATATTTTGGGAAGAATTGCAATGAGGAGGAGGAGGAGTTAGAAGAATAGTAGCTAAACAGTATCAACTCACACCTATGAGTGGGATAGTGTGTGATGAGTGGAATTAGTGGGATGGATGAAATAATTTTTGCCATAGAATCCATTAGTCTTCTAAGCTCATAGAAGACAGAAACAAAAATTACATTTTTAAACATTGGGTTGCACCTAGACTGTGTCTGCAGTCCAATGCCCATTGACCTGGTAATAAACCCCACTGAATTCAGTGAAACTTCCTTCTAAGAGAAATGTATAGGATTGCACTGTTGGTATGTTGAATTTATTTGCCATTGAAATCAGTAGGGTTCAAGACATAACATTTTTTCCCTATTTAAACATTCATTGGATTGCATCCCCAAAAATTTCCATATTGAAACTTCAAGAACAAGGTGCTGCCCCCTACAACTGATAGAAATACCCTGAAATTCCATCCAGGATAATTTATGTGGAGGAACCAGGGACTGAAACTGATACATTCCACATGAAAAGGACTTTCTCCATCATTACACATACTATGTTATAAACTTACTTGTAGGCTAAAGTTGCACTGAAGTGTTGCTGTATGTAAGCCTCCAGTACAGTGTTGAAATGCTGAAATTTTCTATCAGCAATGAGTCCTATTATATAAATCTGTAATAGATTAATTAATATGGTCAGCGTTTTCACCCACCTAAAATCCCTGAAGTATAAACTGGAAAATGGCTTGTTCGCTTGTTTTTTTAAAAGTAATCATTTTAAAAGCTAAAATTTACCATGAGTTTTTTTTTTTTTTTTTAAGGATTAGAAAACCCACTACATGATGCATCTTTTATCTGTCATGAGCTGGTGCCTCTCCGCTCCAACTTCTTTTCCCTTCCCAGCAGATCAAGATAGATGGATGCTTCTAACCACATTCTTTTATTATGTTAAAGCTGCCCATCCAGGACTGGCTTTGTGTCACAAACAGGGTAGTGTAAAGGTCATTAGCAAGAAACATCCATCAAGTTAATGAGCCCAAACTGAACTGATTCCAAACTGAAACTCCTGCCTTCTGGACCAGAGCTAGCTCCACCCTCAGATGACTGGCATGGCGGACACTGCTTGGCCCGCTCCCTTAACCTGGCGGAAGACAACTGGATTGATGAAGTATATACTCCATCCCTTCGAAACCTCCCTGTTCTCTCAAACCAGGGGTTGTCTGGTTCTCATTTGGCTTATTGAAGCTCATGGCTTTGGAATTTCACCTAAGATTTCTGACCTTACCTCTTCTTCCAGTTCAGATTCAGACTCTGAGGTATTTACCTAAGAATGGTATATTTTGGAAGAAGCAAGGCCAGTCCTTAAATTAGCCTTCCCCATTCTGGTGCCCTCCAGATGTGCCAGTCTCATGTGCTATGGAATGGAGAGCACCACACTGGGGGAAGCTTAACTAAAGTCAAATGTCTCCTCTTTAGGGATGCAACACATCTAAGTTGGCAATCCAATGTTATTTGCATTGCAGGTAGTGCCTTATTCCTGCAGTCAGCAGTTCCCTCAAAGAGAGCTCATATATTAAAGTTAACAAGAGTGGAAGAAAAGTGCAGCAAATATATCTATAATATTCGGTAGATAATCCTTACCAGTGCATCAAAGACAAGGATGTCATATGCATCGCTGTGTGAATGTTCCATCATTATATTAAACAGGGCATCTAAAGTGTCTTGGAGGAACTAAAGAAAGGGGAAGGAGGAATAAAAAGAGTGAACTAAGGGTTTAATTGTTTTGGCACTGTGCCAGAATGAAGATGCCTAATAAACATTTTGATTCCTTTGAGCAGAAAATCTTCCCCCTAGCCCCTAGGATACTGCTTCATGACTCAAATGAATTATCTTTCTAGGCCTGTCAGCTAGAGCTTCACCACATCTTTGAAAGTATATTTTGGTCATTTATTTCAAAGAATCCCAAGATAGATTTACTTTATTACATGTGTATACCACCCAATAGCCAAAAGTTTCCTTCAAAGAATCATTGTGCATGCAACGCTCAGTGTTCCATGTTGTTTATATTATGAAGAATAGATTGCTTCCTTTCCCCTGCATCTTATGTGTGCATTTTCAGTTGTACAGTAACACGTGTTCTTATAGAGCCACTGAAGCTTTGGTCTGGGTAACTGTGAAGGGAAATAAATTAGACAGTACTGAGCAACACCCTTCCACCCAGGAGTGCTCTGATGATAGCCCTGGTGTTATACCCCTGTCAGGATAATGAAAGGACAAATGAAGGGTAAGGTGGGGCATTGTGGAAGACAATGACACAACAGCTTTCCATGAGTAACCAGCCATGCTGGGTTGTCCAAATCCAGCATGGTTTCTACGATGTGGCTTATTTTTCGCAAACAACCTTGAACAACATTGGCTTGTTTCAGGATTGTTCTTGCACATGATGTGTTAATGTGTCCTCTGAACTCAGCAATGCGATTTTTTCATGCATTGTCAGGAACGGGTACAGAGTTGCTCATTAAGAATGGCAAAACAAACAAAAAACCCCTCCCACACACTTTTAAAATCTTTCAGGTAACTGCCCTTTCACTGGTGCCAAAATTGCACTTTGGAAAAGCCATTGCTCAGTTCCTTGACATTTTTTAATGGAGCCTCAAAATGTGCAGTTGGGTTTATTTATCTATTTATTTATTTATGTTGGTCTTTCGCGGGTGCATTAGCACACGCTTAGGCCTATCCAATATGTGCAGTCTTCCCTGTTCAGTTTCCTTGTCAGTTTCAGCTGTCAAAGGAGACCAAGGCAAGACTGCATATAGGTTAATTTAGAAATTGTTGCCAGGGTCCAAGCACTTAGCTGTCAATTGAAATGCACTGGAAGGACAGTGGGTGGGAAAAGGCAACAAAAGAAGCATTTCAAGTGGTGATGGGCGATCTCTCAGTGTCAGCCTCTCATTGTTACTTGATGAACTTCCAGTTCTGAATACTGTCAACCTTTTCATCAGTTCCTTGCCTCCCCAACTACTCAAGGTATAAGCTATGCATATTGGAGATGCGTAAGTGCATAGCTGTGCTGACAAGACTGGCCAAAACACTATGGAAAAATGTGAACCAAACCCCAACTGAGGATCCTCAGCTTCTTTGAGAGAAGAGAATGGCAATACAAGGGCTGCTAAACTGTCTTACTTGGCCAAAAGAATTTTTCCACTACACGTTGCTAATGAAATTAGTGTCAAAACCACAGCTCCTAATCATCATCATGTCAAATACATGATGTTGATTAGGGGGAAAATGCTGCTTTAAAAGAAAATACATCAGGGTACAAACTCACCCAGGGACAACCCTGGTATTTGTGTACAAATAAATTACAAAGAAAAAAATGGAAAATAAAACACATCAATACAGTTAATACTGAAGCAAAGAGCTTCTGGATACCTCTTTAAATAGAATTGTTATTATTAACAGTGTCCAGCAGCAGGAATTACAAGTACAGAACCCTACAAACCTCTTAAAGCATACCCTGGCTCAATTCAACTTCTTTTTAACCCCATTAGGCAGCAATTTGTGCTCAGAAGAAGAATATTGCCCTCTTCTTCAGTGTTCCTTGAATCCTCTGAGGTGGATCTGTCATTCCCACAAGTTTTTCCCCCCACTGAACTAGGTATTCCCTAGTCTAAAGCTTTCCTCAGCAAAATAAATTGCAGTCATTTTCACATGGAGAAATAAACCATGACATGCTCAGATTTTACCATTAACATATATATTTCCCCAGATAAGCTACACTCAGCTTGTGTTCAGAATTGAGTATCACGTTCATGTGCATTAGGAAGGAAAGGCAAGATAATTAGTAGCTTTCATTATCTCTATACCTATATGAGCATCTTTCCATTTTATTTTATTCTATTTTAATTTCTATAGGTCAAGGCAAGTTGTCATTCAAATTGGCCTTGATGTTGTGCTTACTAAGAGTTAGTCATGCATTAAAGTGTAAAGTCTTGAATCAAGGGATCTATGATTGTTATAAACTGCCATGCCTGGAATTTTGATAAGTTTGGGGAGTGCTAAAGCAGCAGCTCACTGATTCGACTTTAATCAAGGTGAGCGTCCCAGAAGAATATTTGTGTAAAGCTTCAGATCAAGAGGAAATGAATTATTCTTGCTGTAAAGTAATGCTTCTAGCTCTGCTTGCAGTATTTTATGCACAGCTTTACTTGCTTTCAATATTGAAGCCCATCTAGGGGAAAAGTGCTTTGCTAGGGCAAGAGACAGGCTTTGGGAGAACACACTCAGCACAGAGGAGCAATCTGAGACAGAAACTTCCAAGCATTTGTAAAATCTGTTTTCTTCTATTTGAAGAATGTGCATCTGCTGCTACATGGGTGAAGCTGTTGACATATTGGGACAGTTCCGTGGTTTCTGATATAGTAGCAGAAATTCTGATCTGCCTTGACTGTGCAACATAAGAGGTGAACACTTCAAACTGGAACCCAAGTAAGCAGAAAGACCAGAGAAGCAGATGGAAGTCTTGTGAAAAATTACACTACCATCTCCTCAGACCTTGAGCCTGTTTTGATGTTAGACTGATTGCCAGGTTTATCTCCAGGTAGGGGAGCTCATCCCCTTCCACTTGATCCAACCAAGTTCCACTTGACCCAATCCCTCACCCAGGGTCACTAATCGAAAATTGTGAGCTTGCTATAGATTAATCTGGAATTCAGTTCCCACTGACAGGGCTGCAGGGAGGGGAGGGGGTGCAACCACACTGAGGTGGGAAAAGGCCAGAGAGAGGGAGGGAGATCACCTATCTCAATCCTTATTCATCACCTGCCTTACCTTCCCCTCTACTTGTAATAACCAAATAGGGGCATTTCTGCCTCCCCCAGATTATAATTACAGTCTCCCAAATCACTTGGCAAAAAGGAAAAGGATTACACTGCTAAAGTGCTCTTATATATACACATCCCATGTGTACCCAAAATGTTAAAATGAAACCTAATAATACCCAATACTAAAATCCAAGCATACAGTATTAAATTAAACAATTATCAATAAAAATAACATCAATGATTCCCTAAAAGCCTTGCCTAAAGTCACCAAATGCTTTTGTTCAGACATTTGAATCTTGATGCAGAGTATGTTAGGTGTGGTCTTAGAAAGTTTTGCCATTATTGTTTTATGGAGTTTCAACATACATGCTGTGATTTTTATTGTTGTGGCCCTTTTATTATCATGGCTTGTTAGCAGCCCGGTGTTCCAAACAGGTCTGGCTCTAAAATTAGGCAGAGTGAGACAGTCACTTCAAGCATTAGAGATGGGGTTGAGCAAATGCTGGTAGCCCCTTAACTATTCCCAGTATTGGAGGGCAGAGCTCTGTGTTCCTGGCATCCTGGCTGGCACCTCCTAAACTAGCTTGCTATTCTCACAGAATCATAGAATAGTACAGTTGGAAGGGGCCAGAAGGCCACTGGGTCCAATGCCACTTCAATGCCATTGCAGGACACTAAGTTACACCATCCCATTTGGATGACTGCCCAAAGGCTTTAGAGCCCACAACTTCTCCAAGTAACAGGTTCCATTGTCATACTGTTCTCAGATGAGGTGGAGGATGCTGACTCATCATCGGTGATGAATAATATCCAACCACAAGTCCAGTCAGCTTCTGCAGATAGAATGGGGCAACATGTGTGTTTGTGTGGGAGGGATCTTGTCCATTGAGTCAGGCAGCAAAATGCCACCATCCAATTGACTCCAGAATTGGATGCTGGGTGGGATGCAAACATTCTGAATAAAGTAAGGCTTTGTGCCTTGGGGAAAAAAATAAGGATACATTACTTGAAGTAGATTGTGCTATTTGTATCCACCCCATTAGCTAGCGTAGGCTATTTCTGAGCCATTCTCAAAAAATTAGTCTTTCCCAATTAGCATATAAAGAAAATCAGTTGTCTGCAGTTCTAAGCAACTGCAAGAAACCCATGTCAATGAAACTGTTAATATTTCTTACAGAAAATTTGGAGAAGGGGTGACACAATGTTTTATGCCAAGGCATCTTTTGAAAGGCAGCTCCTTCTCAAATTGAATTAATGAGAACTTTTCATGTAAAGGTGGACAAATAATAATGCAGTGATCTCTCAGACAGATAATAATCCTGGAGACACCATATATTCTGATGTGATTTAAAGAGTCTTGCATGTCAGTTACTTTACAAAAAAAAAAAAAAAAAGCAGGGTGATGGAATGGGGAAAGATGACTACACAGAATTTCTCACTATTTGGGAAGTCCCAAACCTTAAATTATTTGTGTTATTCAAAGCATCACTGAACAGGATATACCTTCACAATTTCTTCACCATCCACCATCTTCAGTTTTTCTAAGTTTTCCTTCAGCAGCTCTGGCTTCATCCGCCACTTCAAAAGGCCCAGTAAACCCACTGCAGAGAAGAGCAGCAATATATTGAGGCCCAGAAAGAGAGAGATTAGCTTTCAAGTGTAACATGAATACTCTTGTCAGAAGCTTATACACTTACCATTTTGAGTCAGTTTGGTTGAACAAACAAGAGTTGAAATGACAAAGGAATCTTTTGAGCTTACTGAGAGCCCTCCTACACTGCTTGAGGTCCGGTTTAAGGTTGAGCCTCGAAAATCTGAGGTAGGCCGGGCAGGAGGGAGACTCAGATAAGCACTGGCATCTTCCATTTTCTTACTATCCCCCTTAAAAACAAGACGTTGGTGAGATTCAATGGGATTCATTAAATGCATTCAGAACCACAGTCTTCCACATTGCCAGCTTTGGACCAAGCCATATTATAACTCAAAGAAGAGTGCAGACTCGTTTGCCATTTTGTAAAGAATTTTGAAGGTTTTAACAAAAAAGTTTCTAATCCAAAAATAGTACTCTAAATTGACCTGGAAACAAAAAGACAGCCAGCCAGTTCTGCCACAGAATTGATGCAATGTGTTTTGAATGTTCAGACCTCATTAGCATTCTTGCTGCCATAGTCTGTACAAACTGAAATTTCTGAACTAAAGGCCTTCCCATGCAATGCAATGCATGCATTACCGTAATCCAACCTAGAGGTAAAAGAGCATGTGTCATTGTCGTGAGGTCTGTTTTCCCCAGAGCTTCTTGATTCCTCTTCAAAAAGATGTTTGGAAATAAATTGTTTTCAGAAAGTGGAATCATAATGCCTAATGTTAGGGATGTGGACATGTGTTGCCAGCTTAGTATTTTAAATCCACTAACAGTGAAATCCTACACATGTGTCAACATGAGAAAAGTCCTACAATGTCCAGCATTCCCCAGCCAGAAATGCTAGGATTGTGCCATAAAGATGTTCTAGTCAAGTGTGCCTGTTTATGTCCAACTGATATCCAGCGTAAAACATATGTAGAAAATCTGGCCTTCCAAGAATCCAAAAGGATTATTTCAGTATTGTCCTATTCCCATGACCCATGTATGACTCCACCCACCCACCCCATGTGCCACCAACCCTCCCAAGCACCAGCATTTTTAAAAATTGCAAGTTGGCCACTCTACTGTCTTGTGACATTCAGAAACATGGAGGACACACTTAGGGTTATCTTTGACTCTTTGCCCCCCCCCCACAATTTCCTCTATTGGCATTAGACCAGCTTTACAGGTGAGGCATGCATTAATCTGCTATGGGCAGAAAAAACAAGCCAAACATGCTATGAGAATTGGAATATAATATTTCAGTAGCTAAAGGAGGTTGCCACTAGATTATGAAAAGCTAAATGAAAGTTCCATGGTAAACTAGAAGATTATACCTTTAGAACTGTCAGATCATGAAAGCCATCAAGTAGAGTTGTTCCATCCTCTTTCATTAACTTTACAAAGGCCATTGCAAAATTCTTTTCTCCTTTGTCTTTAGCTGTACAGTATAGAATTTGGTGTTATTATTTTTTAAAACAGGTCAATTTATCTAATTTTGCATACTGAAAACATACATAAAGCAAGTTACTTACACTCTTGAGATGACCGATGTCTAAACATGAAGCGCAAATGAATTCTTTGCATGTCTTCAATGGGCAACGCTACCTATTTAAATAAACAGCATTTGAAACAAGCAGTTACTAAAATAAAAAATTAAGATGAGCACCTGAAAGAAAAAGGTACTAGTAGTTCTGAGCTAGCACTGCCAAAATCCAACATCACACCATGGCTAGCAGATCTGCTGATTTCTTCAGCGATGGCCATTTACAAATCATGATCTTATGTGATGATTTGTTGTATTTTTTCAGATCATATATTTTATTATTTGTTAAATGAGATTTCAGACTGCCAGGGCCTAGTTTTTATTATTTGCCAAATCAAATTCCTTGGCATCGTGAAATGTTGGGATATATGTCACTGAAGGAGTTTTTGCATGTTAATACTGATTCACACAAAACAGCAATTATGGTATTCATCTTCTTATAAGTATCCGTGGATGTATTTAAAGGGCTTGTTCTGAAGTCCCTGAAAGTGCATAAAGCATATTCCCGTATCATTCAATACCTGCATTTTCCTTTCTAAACTGTGTGTAGATCAGATTAATAGAGAAAGGAAAGTTGTATAATAAGATTATTCGCAGAGAACCAATTCGGATTAAGATTTCTCCATGAATAGAGCCTAGCCATTCTCAGAGATGCAGCCATGAAGAGGAACAAACACCTGGCCGCTCCGTGACAGTGGCTCCCATCATGGTGACATCATCAAAGCACACCAGCATGCTCATGCAAATCTTTGTAATGGGGAAGGTACCAAGTCAAGTTTCCCCTTCAGCACAAGTGCATCCTGGAACAGCCGCATGGCTCCACATGGAGAAAATTCCTAATTCCGAACTGCCTCGCAAACAGATAAGCTTGGAAACAAAGGCGCCTTATGTGAATGGAAAGGTTCTTCTACTTATGCAGGGTACCTCCCTTCACCACCCGCCATCTTTCTGTCCTTTTCCTTTCCCTTGCGCCCCATGCTGCTCCAGACACCTTCTTTATCCTCAGTAGCATTTCTTCAGGAGGTGAGGGCAACCAAGCTGGGGAGGTGGAGCCAGGAATTTGTCTTGTTCAAATCAGCAATTTTCAGGAGTCACTGTGTGTGCGCTCAGACACTGCTGAATACGAATTAGTGTCTAAAATACTGCTAATGCTACCTGTCATGTGTCAACATTACCAGGCATGGAACTACAATATAAGCTGATACCATGGCTAATAACACAGCACAATCAGAATTAAATTCCTTTTGAGTTAAATTAGGAATTGGAATATTCCAAAGGCTGGCTCATGAAGACTCAAATATTTCATTATAAGGTTAAACTGGATTTTCATCCAAGTGCAAAATGGCCACTGCTGAGGATCCAGAATTCTTTGAAGGCTCAGGAAAATAAATGTGCTTTACTGCCCAGGTAGACGTTTTAGTATGCCTTCTGTCTACCCTTCTCAAAGCACCTTAATGGAATTAAACTCATTACCTATCTAAGAGCCATATTATGACAGTAATTTTCTATAGTGCTCTCTCTTTAAAAGAACCAGATTTACAATAAGCTTTTGTAGTAGCCTACAGTCATTTTGTAATTATTTCCATCACAACCTTCCAAGCATTTGCTTATTAAAAGATACATGCAAACTACAGGGATGTTCATTCATTCTTGTCTAACAAGGACAAACCTGATGAAACTAAATAGTAAAAGGGTTTGTGGTGGGAAAGAAGTTGCTTTTGTAGTTTCCTGAATGTATTAACTTGTACACTTTTACTAAAAAAAAGTACTATATTGTAATGGAACAGACTGGCAGAAAAAAAAATTGAAATGACCCAGTCTTACAATAATTATTGTTTGAATTTCTTCCCAGGATCATGATGAGTTAACTGTATGCTTTTCATTCCTAGTTTCTAGACAACAAAACTACGCAAGCAACTCTTTGATGGCTTCCATTACTTCTGTTGTGTTTTCAGGAGTCTCCAATTGAGACAGCATGGTATTACCCCAGGTTACATTTTAGGAAAGACTTTAAAGGGAAAAATGTGGTATGACATACCTTTAATGTCTCCATCCAGCGGGGTTGCTTGACTTGGTAGTAGACAACAGATTTGTATTCACTCACAGGTTTGTCCCCAGCTCCTAAGCATATGGCATTCTTTGGAAAAGAAGGGGGCAGAAGAGATGCAGCTTCTTACTTTTCATGTATGCACCATTTTCATCACAGCACAATATATCCTCATTTTTAGTATTGCCATTCATGCAACCTGCTTTGGAACTCTTTTCTCCTGCCTCTCCAGCATGAGTAAATTTACCACATCGAAGTAAGAAAACACCAAAGCAAAATACGTTTCTGGAGGTGTGTCCCTGAAAATGGTGTAGGCAGGCAAGGGAAGGTAAAGGAATTCCTGCTATCAAGAAAGGAATTTATTGGCCCCACCCCAGTGCCTGGCACTGCTGGCCAGTTGCTGAGGGCCCCGTCGGTGAGGCTGCATTGGGGTCGATCCACCCATCTGCCTGGGGCTCCCTGGCCTGGTTTTTACCATACAGGAGGTGGCGGCAAGCCAACTGCTGCTTTAAATCCTCCCCAGTGACTCAGGGCACTGCAGGAAACTTAAATGGCATGCAACGCACAAGTGATGCCCTGCACGAGGACAGCCATGGAAGGCCTGCCAGAAGTACTTTGCTGGAAGCCCCCTGGTACCCATATCTGAATCAGGATTAGGCCACATCCTTGTTGAAGTAATGAGTACAGTTCAGCAGCAGTTTTGCTGAGTGGCTTAAATATTGGTATGCAAAAATCCCCACCATCAAGGACAACATGGACCTGATCTCTCTTTTGGTTTACTCTTTCCAAAGAGGAGAGGCCTTTCCTCTCCATGGTACAGATGCACAGAATGAGGATGATGCCTTCTGTCTTACCAGTCAAAACTCCCTAACACGACCCCAGCTGCATTTAAGCTAGTTCGAGTAATTCATGCATTTTTCATACCATTAGTCAGAGTGATCTGAACATCCATGTGTGAATAACTAAGGAGGCTATTCGAGGGTGGGAAAGATCTGACAGGCAATGGATGCCTTTGGCTGCTAAAGAACTGTCTTCCTGTTCCTTTTTCTTCTCTTAACAGTTCTTCAACATGTATATACAAGTATATTCAAAAGGCATATTCAAATATCCTACCAGGTTTCCTTTCCCTTTGCAACAAATGCATGCCTTTTTATGTCATTATTACATTTCAGTTCCTCCTTTTTCCCTCTTGCAAGGAGCCCAGAGCAGTTTAGTCTTTCTCCTCTCTGTTTCATTGTCAAACAGCCCTGTGAGGTAGCCTAGGCTGAAAGCCATTGATTACTCACAAAGGCACCCAGAGAGCTTTGTAGCTGAGCATGGATATAAGCCCGGATCATCCAATGTTGCAGGCTAGCATGCAAAACCTTACCTCACACTAGCTCATGAGTAATTTAACCCCGGTAATTTGATGATGCAACAGACAAACATTTTTAACTTTTTACCTAAACAAAGGATAGCTGGCCAGGTGCATCTATTGTTTATTATTATGATTTTTCACTCTTTACCATTTCCTTTTAAAATTAAGAATCTCAATAATCAGCAGCATCTAAGTAATCCTGATTAAATATAAACTACATGCCACAAATGTATATGGTGTTTTATTAGCATGAAAGGGCAGAAAGAGCATTAGAAGAAATGAATGTGTTCCCTTAATATTAAGGGGAGCTTTAAAAGAGGAGATTTATCACATGTAATTTCAGCCTTAGATCAGGCAAAATGCCCAAGATGAGAGTCAGTGCCATGAATCCTTGCTTTCTACAGACCTCCCTGAAATTAACCACATTTGTCCTGTAAGATGGACCACTCTTTTATTGCAGTTTTCATCTGTTCAACAAAGCCAGATGCAAACTTTTATGCTGTAATGTATATCTGTTGGTGGCCTTTGTAATACTCGCCAACTATACACTATAGTGATTTTGATAGGGCTTCTTATGTGCCCTTAGTCTTGTTTCACGTGCTTTTCTGTTTGCTTTTTTTGTTGTTATTGTTATTTTGTTGGCCCAGGTAGAAGCCAAAAGATGTCTTGGCTTGGCTCTGATAAGGTCTTCAGCCTACAAAATGCTTGTGGAATTATTACATAAATATGATAAATCAGTAAAAAAAACCTATATAAAAGCAAATCATCTCATGTTCAAAATACAACAAAAACACATTTGCTATTTTGACTGAACTCTTTCCAAATAGATAAGGTTTGGGGAAAGGTTTGTAATTTCACTGTTTTGACATTTATTTAGTAATTATAGTGTTGGTACACAGAATACTGGTCTGTGACCTTGAGAAATCCCAACTGTCCCTCATTAAACTTGCACAAACTCAGTGCATGAAAAGGTCAATTAGAAGTCAAATGAGCATCCACACCGATGTAATGCAGCAGATGGTGTTTGTAGTCATCACAGTTACAATTATTGTCTATCCTTAGCAGTGATTTCCTGTTGTGCTTTTTGTTTTTGCTTGCTTTGTTTTGTTTTTCCATTCCATCCTATCCATGCATGTGAGTGCATACCCATGGAAGGTCAGGACTCATCATCTGGGCAAAAGGGGTGCTTCATGAACTACTTTTTCAGAAACTTATCCGCAGATCCCTCTGCTTTTCAAACTGTGGCTTCACGTGTAATGAAACGTGCACACTCCAGAACAAACATTGTTGTAAAGTTACATCTACACAATATCAGCTTATGTTCTCTTTTATTTATTTCCCTACACAGTGTAATAGATGGAGATGACACCCACATTCCCTGCTGCCTTGCCATCTGGACAGCCTTGGCATACGTTTGAATAGGATGTACCAGTGCATGTTTGACCCCATACTGCAATCGAGTTTCTTCATATGATATAAGGACTAACTGCATAATGAACTGGATTCTTCATATGTACACCATATTCAAGTGTCAACCATACTGGTCCAAGACATTTTGCTATCTGAAGAACAAGTTTCTCCTCCCCTTCCACACAGAGTTGTCAACCGAGCCAGTAGTTTGTTTATCCATTCAGAACATTTATATTCCCACCTTTCCACCAGAGAGCTCAAGACATCAGCTGAACCTGACAACAGTTGATTGGACAGTGCCTTCCACTGAAGGCAGGGGCCTAGCTCATGGGGAATGATACAAGACATGCTTGGGGGCAGCAGCTCTGCTCTCCAATACTGCACCACTGCTCCCCAGCCCTACATCATCTGCCATCTCACTCTGCCTAGTGTTAGGGCTGATTCTATGTACAGATGGATTTAGAGGCAGATCAAGAAGCCATGATCTTACTTCCCACCACAGATAGAGAGAAGATCAAAGATAAAGTATCTGCTTATCTGGGCTTCATGCAAACTAATTTAGCTCGGCTTACAATGGAACAAGCTTCTCTGACTTGGAGGCTTGCTGCGCATCACTGAGGTGATACCCTACTCCACTTTAACACTAGTCCTGCTCACTCAAGGGATGCCTCCCTCCTCCTGCAAGGGAACAAAATGTATTTCCTCAAGTTGTTAAGGACTTCTGTTTTTAAGTATCCATGTAACAGAAGTCCTTTCTAGCCAGAAGTTTTTTATAGAACTCTGGAAATCTGGCACATAACCTCAAAGCAAATACAGTATCCTTTCATATGTCAACATGCTATATTTAGGACCTCCAAAAGCTGTCATTTACCCACCCCAACTGTTGCAACAAAACAAAAATTACTTTTAAAAGCAACCTTACTTGGATTTTGCAGCTGTTGCAGCAAAGCAAAATGAGCAGTAGTATGCTAGGCTCTTTCACTGACTGGCTATGCAAAACACTGACTTCCTATTCTGTTCCACCTAACATTGGTCCCTGGCTGAATTTGTTTTAATTTAAAGTGCCTAGTGAGGGGGTTTTTTGCTACCCACAGGTGAGATGCAGTGAGATCAGGTGAGGTGGTAGCAGTGGAGAGAAAATGGGGACATGCAACTGGAAAAGGTGGGGGTTATCTTTAAGGGCAACCCCCACCAATCCCAGAATCACAAGGAGAATTCTATTTTGTATATAATTTGGCTTTTTGTGACTTAACCACCCAACCTATGAACAGGCATTGACAGCATTGGAGTGCTTATGCTAGTATGGGAAAGCACCATAAAACCCTGTGCATTCGTACCTAATGGCTGGAAAAGTACTAGTCTGAGAAGGGGCCACTGATGAATTGTCACATCCCTTGTCATGGGCATCTGCAGACAGAGGCAGGATAGGCAAGAAGGGGCAATGGTACCCTGGGGACAAGGACTGGTCTTCTGCAGGAGTCATGGAAAAAGCCAGAGGGTTTCACCTGCAGATGGAAAGACATTGGCTGGACACCTCGTCTCTCCACTGACAGACAACAGAAGGGTAGACCTAGTGCAGTGATCTATCTTGATAGACCTGGTACTCAATCCTTATTGCTGCTCATGCAGCAGATCTGCCAGAAAGCATAGGCGTGTTCTCTGAGGCTATCGGAGCTTTTTAAAATGTGCAAGTAGAGCCAAAATGTACAGCTCAAGGGAAAACAGGCAAATCCAAAAGAACATTGCTGCAGTTCAAAATCCAAGCCATGCAAAAGTTCTACTGAAGTAAAAAGTGGCGGATAAAATATGAAAAGTAAAGTGAATCATTCAGGCTTCTCTAGAGCCCTGAAATTTGATCAAGCAGACTTATTTCCTCTTTCACACCTAAGGGCACTCTACTGCTACCCTTTGCAGCTGTTTTCTCCTGTTTGGTGCTTTCAGGCGTTAGGACTTCAGCTCCAGTCAAGCCCACCCAGTGGGACCAATGATCCAGAATGTTGGGGTTGCAGCCCAAAACATCAGGAAGATACCAGGCTGGCAAAGTCTGTTGCAGAGAACGTTTGTCCAGGTTGAAGGAAATAATTTTAGGATGAGTCATGTGCAGTTGTCAAAGTTACCATGCCAGCAGTGATGCCGTAAAATATAGAGTATGATATTCTTAAGACAGGTGTATTATGTTTGTATATGTAGATTTTTTCTCTTGATCCCATGTGTTTTTAAAATCCCTCATATCAAATAAAATGTTGTTGTAGTTCAGAATGTGTTTTAAATGTAACAGTCTTCTGCATTAGGACTGCTCAGTTCCCAGCATTTTCTATTATTCTGTGAAGACTTCTAATCGTCATAAAACAGGATGCTAAGCAACAAAGAGTACTCCCAGGAAAAGTGCACAGGCATTGTGAGATGTTGTGCAGCTCTGTTTCCCCAATTCTCCAGAGAAATTTCTGTGGATTCCCATGCTTTCTGAGGATGTTAAATGTATCCTTTTCATGAAAGGTGTACAGAGAAAGGCCTCCTCTCATGAGTTAAATCAAGTTCAGAGTTCTTAGTATGAATGTTATAACCATGACAATATGCTTGCAAATTTAAGCCTATGGATGTAGACTTCTAGGGGCTAAGATTCCATTTCAAAGGTTATTATACACACCCCAGCAAACAGAGTCAAACTGCAGTGCAGTATAAGCACACCCAAAACATCAGTTCTTGTTAGGGAAGGAGATAGGCCAAGTTGAGCTTGTTCACTTTTAGTATGTGTGTAACAGAGCAGCACTTACTGGTATCACTTTTCCTTCTTCATCACAGACGCACATGCTGACTTCTACATTTCTCTGAGTGGTTTTATTATATTTATCCAAGTCTCCACAAATCAAGGTAATATAAATGTCATTCCTTACATCACCTATGAAAGAAATACAAAAAAGTTAGATACCAGGATATAACTGCAACCAGCTAATGTGATGGAACACATAAAAGCTTAGCTTTGCATACAAACTGTGATATAGTAGACTGTGAAAAGTCAAGAGAAAAATGAAATTCAGCTTTGAGTTTGATGTTTACTATCAGTCTTCACCCTCTTGTCAGGAAAGGACTTAACATTGTTTCTACATCAATGTGCAATTCTCATCCTGCAATGCCACCTTCTGGTTAAGCACGGCTAAGACACACCACCAAGTGGGGACAAGTCATGTAAGAGTCAAAGAATTTCATGCTGCCTGCCAAGAGGGGCATTTCATCCCAGCTTCAGGACCATGTACTTGAGATGCTTTGGAGCTGCATTTTCTTTTAAGAGTAGTCCAGATGTGTGTGTGCACATTCTGCTGGTTAGCAAACCAAAAGGAAATTCAAAAGCATTTTTTAACATGGTTTGAGAGTCTGCTACTTTAAGGAAAGGTAGTTCAAAATAGAGTTGAACCTTCTGACACCAAATCAGGAAGAACCACAGGGACAGAACGATCTACAAAATCACCCCACCCTCCATGCACCCTCTGTTTTGTAGTCCTCAGGGCAGCAGCATTAATGCAGCTAGTCCTGGTGGCTTTCTCCCCAGCCGTTTGGATAGCAAAGGTTGGAAGTAATGCCAACAAGTGCCATCATGAAGTTAATCAGAGGGCCATGCTGCTTGCTTTCACCCTGGAGGCTTCTGGGAAAGAAATGGAACCACCGAGGCTCTGCTGAGACCCTGAGGAACATGATGATGCCAGTACTATGTTAAAGACTCATTTCACTTCCTTGCAATTCCTCCCTCCCACCATGTAGAGCCATTTGCAACATCTCAACATTCAAAAAAAATGGCAGTCAGGAGAAATGATTTCAACTTAGGTTAAAAAAAATAAACAGCCCTGTACTTGCTGCTTCCAGGCCTTTTGGCAACAATTTGAATTGCTCCCTTCATACATCTCAAGGCCATACATGAAGGTGTGGAGTTAGTCCAGAGGTGGGGGCTCAAAGGGTCAATTGATCTGGACAGTCTTTTTGTTACTTCTCCCAACTAAGCAGAAAACTTCAGAAATTGGATGATTTACTCCTGGGATTGATCAAAAGAGGAGGTGAGTCCCATCCCAAGGGCAACTGGCCAGCTTTTAGGGGTTCCAACTTGTTAGGGCTTAATTGCCTGCAGCTGGGATGAGGCCAGTGTTGAGGTGAGATGAGTGATGACTGGCAAGATGGTGGGCCATTCTAGAATTGGCTGCTAAGTATACATTTATGGCCAAAGGGGGAATGAGTGTAGGTCTTTTGCCTCACTATGGAGTAGGTCTTTTGCCTCCCTATGACTGAGAATTGTCTGGGGCTTTGCCTGACCAACTTGAAAGCCTAGATAAGAGTTAGTTTTGTTATTTCCTTGTTGAGGTGATATGCTGAAGAATCTACATACCCTTAGAAACTGGGGTCGTACTTTATGTTGTTGTTTGGTTTTGGATCTTTTAATTTGCTTTTTATTCTTTCCTTTTCACTTTTAAACCTTAGTCCTTTGTTCTCTTACTTTTAAATAAAGTCTTGCCACTTCATTGGTATGGCTGTTTTGGCTGAATCAGTGATAAATCCAGACTCCAAAAGAGGGCAGATTGTTGGGGAAAGGGTGTGGATTAAGCCCTGACAGTGGGGCTGTGGGAGTTCACCTGGACCTTCCTTCATAAAAGTCAGTGGGCTACACCAGAGCAGAAATTCATGGGCTCTGAAGTTCTTTAAGATTTAGAAATGATCCATAAAGCATCACCACTATGTGAACAAATGTCCTGCATATAGCTGGTGCTGTTCTGTAATATTTACTTTGGAATATGTATTCTTTTGATGCAACGTTCTCCAGAATGTGTCCAAACATCTAATCCAGGGCAGGCTGAGGTGGAAAACTGTGTGGCTTTTACAACCTGATAACCCTATAAAGTCTATAGAGGAAAAGCTGTTGAGTCTCTATGAAGATCTTCAATTGAATAAACAGAAGGACAGTCTACAAAGTACCAATTTTAGAGATTTTTTTTGGCTGCTAATCAAAAGCTTCCTATTACAAGCTTTCTTTGAGTCATTAGTTGCCATTCAAGAACAGGAGAAATTTCAATCTACGTTGGTTGTTATTCCAAAGTACTCAGGTAACTTTGCTCCAAGTACACAATGTGCGCAAAGATCAATTTAATGTTGAGTCATACAGACCCAACTTATTGAAGAACTTTGATTGCAAATTACTGGTAGCGGTTATGGCTTTTAGATTGAATTAATTTATTTCTTCTTATATTCATCCATATCAATTTAGGTTTATTTCTTCTATGCAACTATCTAATCCCATTCATAGAGTTTTGAATGCTATCCATCATGAATTAAAAAAACACCTTAAGAAATCTCTAGTTATCCTGTCTTTCGATGTTCAAAAGGCTTGTGACAATTTAAACTGGCCATTTCTATATAGGGTAATAGGAAAAATTGATGTAGGTATTTTTATTTGATTAATTTAAAGATTATATGAAAAGTCAAGATTTGATTAGAATTAATAGATTTTATTCAGGAAAAAATGGAACTAATAAAGGTACTAAAACAATGTCCAATATCTCCAGTGCTATATGCTCTTCCATTAGAACCTTTTGCTAATATGACATGTAATAATTCAACAATCAGTGGGGCTACAATTCAAGCTGCGAGTCATATTATTAGTTTGTTCTCAGAGAACATTGCCCAGTTTATAACCAAATCTTCAACAGATGTCCCAGTAATTATGGAACAACTATGTTCATAGGGACCAATTTCTAGATTTAAAATTATTTTCAGTAAATTTGAGGGACTTTATAATGTAACTATGCATAAAATAAGGTATGACTTATAGTAGTGGTTCAAATTTAATCTGTCTTGGCTGGGAAGAATAGCTACCATTAAGATGGCTGCTCTTCCTAAAATAGCATTACCAATTAAATTATCACAGAAACATCTTGTTCAATGGCAAAAAAACAAAAAAGAAAAAAACTGTGATACCTGTGTATTTTAATAGGAAAAAGCCAAGAGTCATCAAAAGTATTATATATCAAAAATCTCCCTTGAGTGAACTTAGAGTTCCAGACATTATTAAATATCATGATGCATTCCAATTATGTCAGCTCTTTCTAATATTGTTTAAAGATTTTGATATAGTATGGATAGAAAGAGAATATCTTGGAAATATTTTAAAGTATTTCTATCTGCCCAACACTAATAGAAATATAGCTATATTACAAAATGCTTTTTTAAAAAAAAAAATCACTTTACAATTCTGGAATAAATGGCACAAATACTTAATGCCCCAAATTCCCTGCTTACACCCTTCTTAAACTATCCTTTGTTTCTCCATCCAGATAAAACACCTCAAATTGTTGGCTGGGAAGACAGCAGTTTATATAAGATGTTAGATTTCTTGCCAAAGGGCATAAGTTTAACACGATGGCAAATTATAGGTAGAATTTCTAATACCTCTAATATGTGGTTCCAAGTCCACCAAAGACATCACTTTTTAAAGGATTCAATACAGCTCAAACAATTTAAAAACTACCTACTTAACCATTCCTCAGGCACTAAAGGGATTGTTTTGAAGCTCTGTAAATGCCTTCTCAGTGCTGCCAATTATAATTTGAGAGGCTTACAGATAGCCCAGGAACAAGACCTAAGGTATGAAATAAATGACAACAATTGGCCAAAAAAAAAAAAAGGTCTAACCATCCACTGAAATCAAGCTCAGCTCATACTAGAAAAAGTTCAATCGAGGTGATTTGCAGATGGCATCTCACTCCAGTGGAGTTTGCAAAAATAAAGCAAATTTCCCTTACTTTGGAGGGAGTGCACAAGAGGAATGAGTGAGGGGTCCATTTGAGGGTGGGAATCCATTGGATTCCCTGGGCTCAGCTCCCCAGACTCTGGTCTGCTCTGTCATGGCCATGATTCTGAGTTGGACGCTGAGTTCTGGCAGGCACACCCACCATCCATGCAGTGCTCAACAGGAATCGAGCCCCTTGTGGCTATTGTTCAAGCTGCATCGCTCTTCCACAGCACTGCATGCAACTCAGCATCCAACTCAGGAGGAGGTTTCCAGTTGTGCAGACTTCATTCTGTGAGCATTCGCAGCATTCAGTTCAGCTCTGCTCACTTTCTCAGACTGGCCAAGCATGAAAGGAAGGCCACCAATGCAATAGGGCTCAGCTCCTATGGAGCTTCATGGCAACCCTAGTGCAGTGTCTTAGGCACATAGCTTCAGTGAACTTGCCCGTTTGGTTGTGTCTGGGAAGAGATTGAAAATTGAATTAGCAAAATTGCTAATCAATCAATTAATCTCAACCCAGGTTGTGTTCTACTTAAGTTAACTAATGAATTCAATAGTAAATATTTTTAAAAAGATTGGATTTCATTTCAAATTGTGGCTATCTGCTCAAAAAATGTTTGCACAAAACTGGAAAGGTGACAGGATGCCTAATTTGTGTGATTGGTATGGCAATTTATGGAATTTGGTTTTATTGGAGAAACTGACCATCAAGGTAGTTAAAAACCCTCTAATTGTTGACACATCTGGATGTTCACAGTAGTCATTTATCAACTTCATTGATCAAGAAGTAGATGGATTCTGGTCTGTTCCAATGAGACATAGTAAGATCTTGGACACACTTCTTTAGCTCAAGGAGATTCAGACAGTAAAATTATCTGCAAGCTTTTTACCTTTTTAGCAAAGAACTTATGCTTTTGGTACAGTTGGTAGCAATGGCACATATCTATATGTTTACTTATTTTATACTTTCATGTTTATTTAACCAATTGCCTATTATTATGTTGCTATTTTATACTATTAAAACAATAAAATACTCTGTGCAGCCTCTAAGAAGCTAAAATGTATCTGACTGAGGCCTTGTTTTGCTATTACCAAATACCTGCATAGTAGTCACATGGTGATGTTCTACA